ATATATATATATATCATAAAAGATACTAAAAAGCCATAGACATTAAATGTAATAATTACTAAAATATTGAAAGAATAGTATTATAAATGAGTAACTCCACTACCTTCTATTAATATTGGAAGGAGGGGAAATTAACCTATTCAGATTTTTCTCAAATTCTGTGGAAAAATTATAAATTAGCATTTCCCCCCCCCCCCATCTATTCCTTCTTTCTTCTATTCCCATGACTATTGCCAGGAAATGAAAAACTGGATGATATTGAAAATAGTTTTTTAAACTTAGAATTAATGTTCAATTAATTCCAAGCCTTCTTATTAAAATATTTTTGGTAAAGAAGTGAAGAATATACCTCAAGCTCTGGTATCCATGCCCAATAATTTCATACAAAATTTTGAAATCTTCAAAGGGGAGCTTCACTATAAAATTTGTGATGCAACGTGGCAACTTCATATTTCCAGCATTCTCTCTCAATACTTATGAAAACTAAAAGAACCTTCCATGTTGATGCAGTTCCTGAGAAGACCTGTTTCTCAGCTCTAGCATGTGACTAAGACAAGAGATGGATTCTGTGGTGGCAGCGAATCATGCATAATGCAACATTAAAATGCAAATGTGAACTTTTTGGAACTTGCATTATAGAGCTGCATCCAAGCATTATGTAGAGGGTGATTAAAATAGTTAAAGTGTAGAGGTTATGTCATGACATACAGCATATGCTTAGCAATTTTGATGAAAATTCCACTGCTGCAGATTCCCATTTAAGAGACACTATGAAAAGTTGAAGTGATATGAAGTACTTCATGAAGGCAAATAGCATTTCTTCAACTATGAGACTGAATTCCTTATATCTTGGGCAAGAATTACAATATTGGCAAAGAAGAAGTAATAATTGTATTGTTTGTAAACCACTTAGAGTCACCTCCAATGAGATGGGTAACATATGATGAATGATGAATGAATATTTCATCACTTAACATGTACTTTTAACATACATACCAACAGCTCCATTTAGAGTCTGGAAAATATTACATTTGTGATCCAAGGTAATATTGATACGTTCCTAAAGCACAAGAAGAGAAAATATGGTAGAAGTGACTCTATAAAGTAAAGATCAGTTTAAAACTAAATTTAAATAGTGTTATACAATGACCAGATGTTTCACTGGCAATTCTTTTAAACAACCCCCCCCCCCCCGGACACACACAATTTCTTTTGCAATGTTCCATAGATCATCATGTTCATAATTCATCATGTCATCCAGACTTACCTCATCAATAACATATAGTTTGTTAAGACATTGTTTATATGTCACTAATACCAGAGGTTTGCTTTCTGTTCCAAAGGTCAAGAAAAGTTCATGACTTCTCAAAGAACAGTGACTTGGCAGTATATAGTACAAGAATATTTGACAAATAATACTAACAGATTACCATATTGAAAAGATCAGAATAGAAAGTTGAAAGTAGACTTGCAGGATATGTTAAGACTGCCACATAAATTAGTCTTGCTTATTTGCGTTTTTCTAAAAAGGATAGGAAGATTCATTTCTAGAATCCATAGATCTGCCTCAATTCAAATCAGTGAAAGAGCCAAGAGATAATTTTAGTATCAATGGCTAATTCCATTCTATCTTAAAATCTTCACATAGGGAAGGAAAAATCAGTTCTTAAACTGAAGTCTACATCCCAGTTTCAAAATATAATGGGCTTCAGTAAAATACTACTGTATTTTTTGGAGTATAAGATGCACCAGCGTATAAGACATACCAAGGTTTTGAAGAAGCAATTTTTTAAAAATGTAGATAGGTAGATAGAGGGATAGATAGGGAGAGAAAGAGAAAGAAATACAGTAGGTAGATAGGGAGAGAGCGGGAGAGAGTAGGTAGGTAGGTAGGTAGGTAGGTAGGTAGGTAGGTAGGTAGGTAGGTAGGTAGGTAGGTAGGTAGGTAG